TGATATCTTTTACTTAACCAAGAATGAGAAGGCAAAGTTTGTTGGGATTTTCAAAAAATAAAATAAAATCTGATGGTATACATAAAAGTTTTCAAAAGAGTTTGTAATTTAACTTAAGTGCGATACATACAAAAACATAAATCAAAAAAGAGAGTTTTTTGCAAACTCATGCAAGAGTATATCAAAACTTTCACACTTTTCATAAATAAAACCGCTGAAACTTTATATTCCCACAAATCGAAATAGAGAGTGTTCATATTTTCATAAAACGAGAGCATTGAAACTCCAAATTTCCACAAACCGAAATATGAAAACTTCAATTTTTTTTAATTGAATTCCCCTTTATTGAAGACATTAGTAGAATATGTATATCACACATTTGTATCATACAAATCTTATATATTTACATATCCAACATCTAACTTACATTTATAACACCCAAGTCTCCATGACATATCAAAAGATTACCGGCATAGCTTCTCATGCACGAGTATAAGGATGCATGCATGAAGAAATTAAAATTGCGGGTACTAGAAATGTAAAACATTATGATTAAAGAACTCGAAACTTGAATTTCCAAGTCCCAGTATTAGATATGTAAATACACGAGAATTGTATGCTGCATATCAAACTTTCCAAATGTTAAAATAAATAACAACATAGCATAAGAATGAATCATATAAGTTTGCACAAAAGAATATCTCAGTGCTTATTACATACAAAATCTAACTGAAATTTAAAAGTTTATCCATATTTGAGTATTTTCTTGAAAAGATGTACCATTCTAATAGAAAGAGTTAGACATTTATTGACAGGATTTCTTCTGAAATTTGGACAACATTTCCAACTATATTTGAAAAATAATAAAGATTTTGTTCAGTTAGCTCAATTTCAAGAGTCTTTAGCAAAGTTTAAGAGAAGATGATATGAATTCTAAAACACATACAAATTACCGAATAGTCTTTGCAAATTTCAAATGGTTATGAGAATATCACAAATGATTAGAACCAACAAGTAAAAAAAAAAACTTCTCATAAACCTTTCTTCCCAAACCAAACTTACACATTTGGTACAATCTCATAGATTGCAAATAGACAGTAAAGTATCACATCCGAACATAAGTACCACTTAATACAAAGAATCTGAATATATGTACATTTCATACTTTAATTGACTGAAATAAGAAGCAAACAAAGTAAGCCCAAGTTAATCATAAACGTTCTTAATTAAACACATCTCCATATTAACCTCAAGAAATTGTAATTTATGATTATTGAAAGAACCAAGAGTTCAATGTTTGATGTCTCGATACAGTGATCCAACAGAAAAGCTAGGTTGCAAATTAGTTAATGAAATAAGAATGTACGTTACAATTCATATGTTTCAAAATATAAGTCATCCAAGAAATGTGAAGTAATACAAGTTAGATTGGAGTTAAGAAGCTTACGGGAATTCAGACTTTAAGATGTTTGATATGCACATTGAAAATATATAGAAACAATAACAACACGTCGATGTATTCAATCAAAGAAGTGAAGATTAGAATTCACCATGCAATTTAAAGAAGACATCAGCAAGATAAGAAAACATTTACCGAACGCAGGATTCCAGTAATCAACCAAATTAGGAGGAAAGAGTAGCACGAGAAGAACAGATCCTTACCCTTGAATAATAAAGGGGAAGAAGGATGAGGTTTTTACGTGTGAGGGAGCCGAACGAACCAAGAAAATCTCTCCCGAGGGCCAAAGCTGTTGTTGGAGTGAAATAGGCAAGGGCATTGCGGGGAGGATGAGAAGCATTGTCATAGTCGAGTATAGAAGAAGAGGGAGTATAGGCGAAAGAGCTTGGGGAGTTGAGGACTGGCCGAAATGGGAAGCTCGGAGGTGAAGTAAGCGAGAGCTTTGGGTGTAGAGGAGGAAGGGAAGGGAGCGACAAGAAGTTTTCGTCAGGGAAAATATTTGCGTAGATAAGATGTACTGAGGGCTGCTTATTCAGGTGTACACGGTTTATATTCGGGTTATACTTATGTAATCTTCATGTAATTTTTTTGTAAACTCCGTGTAATTTATTTGTACCCAAGAAACTACAGAAGCTCGAAACTCATTTATAGGTTACAGGTAGTTTACAAAGATGTTACAGATGGGTTACAGATGGGTATAACTCCGATATAACCCTCCTGCACCCCCTGAATACCTCTGGGCGTACGCATCGCTGCATACAACTTATGTACACAAATATTTTCCTTTGGTCAGAGGGGATAGGGGTCCCTTCGAGATGCCATGAGGCAGAAGGAGGAGATGATCGATGTGTAGGTAAGTATGCTTAATTTCCGGCACTTTTATGGATAAAGTTGTACTTTAAATAATTAAATAATGATATTTTCATATTTTTATTTCAGGTACAACAAACAATAAAAGTGAAATAAAATGTAGAAGAAATGGTGACGTGGAGCAAAAAGGGACTTAAGAAGCTGACGCCCAGGTGTCAGCTATTGGGCACCTAGGCTCTCCTTCCAAGCGCCTTAATGTCGCTTTCTTGGTCGCCTGGGCGCCCACGTCCAGAGAAGCTGGCGTGTAGGCACAAGCCCGGTGGCACCTATGCACCAACAAATGCTGGGCATTTTTTAGCAGTTTCGCCCGCACGACTTGGGGAGTTATGCCGATTATAAAGGTGGTTCCTCGGACATTTGTATAGGGAGAACACTTGCAGGATTACTTGTTGAACACATGGGAAGTCCGAGGAGAAATCCTTAGGGAGTTCTTAGGTCTGAGGCTTGTAATTTCTTTTGAGGAGGAAATTTAGAAGTGTTTTTCATTTAGAATTTGGTGAGGGTTTGGAGTTGTATTGTGATGAGGATATTTAGCAAAGCAACAAGGATTAGAAGAACCATTGGGGAGGAAATTCTAGCACTTTGTAAAGGAAAAAAACTAAGTATTGTGTACTTATTTGTATTTTAATTTTCTGTAAACACAATTTTAGTGGATTTGCTTGACTTCAAAGATGTTTTTTTGGTGTTTTCTTATTGCTTTGTGAGTACTTCTTTTTACCTTTTCCTTTGTGACGAATAAGTAGGTTGTGTAAGGATATTAGAATGTTGTAGAAATTGATTTTTAATCTTTAATGTGATGAATATTCTTCAAAGCTTCATTTACTTCTCATTATGACCAACTGATTAGCTAATATTGTGATCCATAATGACTCGAGAGAGCTATGGAATAACGATTAGAGTATTCACATTGAACTGTAGAGTATAAAGTAGAAGTAAACAATAAAGTGATGCAAATAGATAGAGAAATAATCTTTAATGGGTTCAAATTGGGGTTTAAGGAATTAAAACCAGTTTAACCAAATTTTTTTATACACTTAGGAGAGAGTAAAGAAGAGAGTTGTTTCTATTTGTCATTAGCCACGCTTACAATTTAAAATATTCATTTGCCAAACACCACTTATATCATTGCAAGGAACGGTAGCTTTATAACTTGATTTTCACCAATTTGAATATATTTAGTAAGGTTTATTTCAGAGTAAACCATTCAGTGTTGTTGTAATACATTGTGACTAGTAAACAAAACTTAAAACTAACTTTACTTACAAGCTATGGATAATTAAGTTTGGTTAGAACCTTTCCTAAGACTTTAACCCCTCACTCCCTATAGGTTCGATAACCTAGACTCAAAAGTCGCTATTACAAAAGTGATATGCACTCTTGCGTTAGGCTTCAGAGTGTTAGTACACCTGGACTTATTTAGGGTTGCATCAGTGTTGAGCAAGGGCTTCAAATCGAATAGGGAGAGGAGCCTTCGGACAGAGAGTTTTTTTCTTCTTTCTTTTTTTATATAATGATTTTCTTTATTATTTTTATTATTCATTTAAACACATCAATTTGCACATAATCTGCTCTTGCTCATAATTTTATCAACATGGATATCCTTCCTATGAAAAATCGATGTTCTGGACGTGCTCATGTAGTTCGTTTTGTCATCTGGGGTCGTCTGGACAAATTTGTCAACGATCGGGCTAATTTAGATCAGCTTCGTGCACGACACGGAGAATAATATGTGCGGCCCAATCTGAGTCGTCCGACAAGAAAAATGGCGACCTGTACGCGAGAGGCGAATTCTAGCAAGATGCTCTCAGCAGTGTACCTCTCAACAGACGTCGAAGGCTCACAAGCTCATGTCAAAAATGCATCAAATTTGGTTTTCGTGAATTTTGGTTTATAATTATTTTTTTTTAAATTGATCTTAATTTTGATTTAGTGGTGGAGTACGTGGTGTTTGTATGTGTGAACATGCATGTGACATTTATTATGATGTTTCAGGAAATCTTGAGGCACTCCCAATATTTATAGGAACTTAACTTGAGTTTCAATATGTTAGTTCCAATCGACTCAATTAAATGTTGAGGATTTCAAACCACGCATATGAGACTACAAGGAGACAAAAAATAGTTCAAATTTTTAAATTGTGTGGACTCCAATACTAGTCCTCTAGGAGAGTCAGCAATAAAGTCCTATGTCTAGATCCTAGACTCTAGAGAGGCAAACAAAACTCATAAAAAATGAGGTCAACAATAGAGTGTAATAAGAAATACAAAATATTATTGTTTTCCCATCTTTCTCCCTATGATCATTTATTTATTAATTTTGTTTAGTTATAAAAGTACAACTTTAATCAAATGTTAACACATGAACCCTTTAACTAGGATCCAATATAGTCATGTGTGAATGATCCCTAGGAACTTGTGCTCAAAAGTCTCACTTGAGTTGATTGATGAAGTGTAAATTGATTTGTAGGGTTGCTTGAGCTGCCCAAAATGAATGGACTTTTGTGCTGGGGCAAATGCCTCTAAAGAGAGTTTAAGCTTAATAGATTACTCAAGTGAAAACTCCTCGGCCAGAGTTAACGGGCCTCATCAGGCAAACTTGCTAGTGTTGGAAGACACTTTCTCATCAAACAAGTGTCTTTAGATTCCAAGGGAGTGTGTATCAACCTCCTCCATTTTGATTTTTTATTTTTTTCCTAATAATTAGTCAAATGACCAACATCACTTGTTTTCCTTCATCGCCAGTATTTTCCCCTCTTTTTGTTGCTTGTTGCCAAAACCTGTCTGTGTAGAAGAAAGTCAATTGGCGGCTAAAATTCTAACGTTTCGGTTAATTTTTCATTATTTTTCCTATTTTCCCCTCTTGGTCAGATCTTCGTCGTTCCGCGCCGGCGATTCCCATAATCGGGAAGCTATGGCTGTGCCAGTGGTCCGGTTCCCCATAGTGCTTGCGATCCGTCTGATGGGCTTCACCGCTGCTGTCCTAGTTCTTGCTTGGGCCACGCACTTCCGCGGCGGCATGGCTCTCATTTCCGATAACAAAGATCTCATCTTTAACGTAATGTTTCTCTTCACCCTTCAGTTCCTTCTTTCCCT